CCCCCCCCCCACTCACACTCCAAAAGACACAAGCTACAATACCAAAACCTTGCAAATTTCTGCAAACCAATCATGGGCTAGAGATAGATCGTTTTTTTGGTGTTTCTCCGAATAGGTGCCGGTATTCTCCTGAGGGAAGATTCATTTATTTATCTATTGGGAAGAATTCTGTGCGAGATTAAATACATTGTATCATTTTCTATTATTTATGATTAATAAATTCTATTTTTGTTTTTTCCTTTGTTTTAGTTTTTTTTAAAACAGAGATATGTAAAGTCGGATTATTTATATATTACAGGTATTTATATAGCGCTGTACATAGTGCACAGTCACATCAGTCCCCGCCCTCAAGGAGCCGACAATCGAAGGTCCCTATCTCACATGCATACATACATATGAGGGCCAATTCAGACAGGGGCCAATGAACCTCCCAGCGTGTCTTTGCAGTGTGGGAGGAACCCGGAGTTCCCGGAGGAAACACAGCACAAGTACAGTGAGAACATGCAAACTCCATGCAGATAGCGTCCTGACCGGGATTTAACCCGGGGACCCTTAGTGCGGCAAGCCCAGTGGCGTAACAATCGCCATAGCGACCCAGGCGGCTGCTATGGGGCCCCAGGCACAGGGGGGCACGGCCAGGACATCCTGGCCGTGCGGGCCGCCTGGGTCGCTATGGCATCTCAGGCTGCTGGCTGTCACTGGCGGCTGCGAGGAGGAACCTGCTGCTGCACACATCACTGACAACCTGTGATGTGTGCAGCGGCGCGTTCCTCCTCACAGCCGCTGCCGAGTCCATGACAACCAGCAGCTTCGGAGGAGGTGGCTTGGCCTGTCGTCGGCAGCGATGGAGGTGGGGCCTGGTGATGGAAGAGGCGGGGCCCAGTTACGGAGGAGTCGATCATGGAGGAGAAGGAGGCGGACAGAGGACCGGGGCTGACAGGTAAGAGGGCTTGACCGCCCACTTGAGACCCTGCAGAGCCAACCATAGGGAGTCTATGGTGGGCTCTGCAGGGTCACCCTCAGGTGGGCTGTTTGGGTTATCAGGTGGGCGTAACTAGAAATCACAGGAACCCATACAACATTTTGCTAAGGGGCCCTGTGATTTCTAGTTACGCCCCTGGGCAAGCCAGAAGTTTATATGGAGATCAGGGCTGCTGCCCCATGCTGTAGAGAAGGACCCTCGGACTCAGCAAGGGGGCATGCAGAGAGACCACTGCTTCCACACAGAGAGCAAGGTATCTTTTCTACAGCATGCTGGCAGGGGACAGGCTTCTCTTCTCAGGCTGTGGCCGTTTCATGGAGACAACATACTGGAAGACTGGACCTGGAATGGATTTTGGTGAATTAATGTGAAACTTCGATAGGGCTTGAACACAGTTTCGCCATTAGTCACAATTTGTGTACAAAATGCCCAAAATAAGAAACTTTCTTACCAATTCTGCAACCAGCAGGCTGACCATTGCTGCACTTTGCCCAGAAAGTGGCATGGTAATGTACTGCCCCCTAGTGTTGGAACATCATAATGTTCTTTATTAACATTGTGACCATTTCCAGGTTATTGTGTAACAATTAGCCGAACTTTACATGAAACCATCATAGAAAAATTGCCAATCTCAGCTGTTAGATTGGGATGTTCAAGTCATTGACCGTGAAAAAGTAATGACTCCGGAAATTGTCTAACTTTCCCAATCTCCATTCTGGATCTGTGGCTCAAAGTACTAAAATCACCGTTAGCATAACAGCCAGGGAACGGGTCCATTCAGACAGAGGCTGGGGACGGATATTCGAATTGTCTCATGACAGGTGCTCTTTAAAGGGAACTTCAGTTCAGTGACAAAAAGGGACGGAACGCACAGATATAGGTAAAATATTAAACCAAAGAAGGCCGTCCACAGAATGCTTTTCCTTCATGGACATGACACTACTGACTTCAGGGACACCCAAGGGCTGCACAATATATTACAAAAGGCTGCATGTGGCCCCTGGGCCGCAGGTTGGGCACCAGGAGAATACAGTATAATAGATACATTAAAACTTATCAAACATGTATATTAAACATTTATTAAACGCAGAGGCGTCCCGAGACAGGATAGCACCCCGCAGTGACGTCATCGCGTATGCCGGTAGGTAACAGCAGTACCATGCGTGACACCATCACGTGCGGTACCTCTGTTACCTGCCGGCAGCCATCTCGGTGATGGACGTTGGCAGAGAGAGGAGGGGATAAGGTATGCCACTGGGTCCCCTCCTCTCTAGAGTAAATGTCGGGCTCACGGCCCTTGACCGAGTGCCGACTTTTCAGAGGGGGGGGTGACACCAAAATGACTGGTAGTAATTTTGGTGTCACCCCTCGAATGGTGTCACCCGGGTGCTGCCGCACACCCTTGTGACGCCACTGATGTGCGCACGGCGGTCATCGCAGCAAGGGACCGGGCCCAGAACACAAGCCCAGCTGTGCGTCAGTGCCACGGCTCAAGACCTTGTCGAGACACAGCCCGGCACCCGGGCGACCTCACAAAAACGCTCGTCAGATGCTAAATAAACGGAACTAAAAATAACACAAAAGTTATAGAACTTCACAGCGTGGCACGAACGGCGAGGAATCATCCGCGTCGCCATAGCAACTGCAAAACACGTATTCTGAGTCCCTCTATCTGATGAGGCAGCCAGAGCACAGACAGTCCCTGACTGGACTCAGGCTATGGACCGCCGGGCGACCTTGCTGAATAATGACCGACGGATTTCCCGCTTTAAAAGGGACCCCAACAAGAAAGTGGGAGCCGTCAGTGCGGACCTTCCTCTGAGAATGCTGCTTGCCTGGCTACCTGCGGCTTTACCAATGATAACGAACAAGCAGGCAAAGCATGATGTTAGCAAAGTTTAGGTCAGCGATACAGAAAGTACTGAAGCCATTGGATCACCATCACAGTCAGGCATCTAACATACAGCCCAAGGTTATATTTCTCTTAGGGAGGGAGAGGGTTAGAGCTAGGGATGCACCGATACCGGGTTTTTTTTCCCCGGTACTTGCCGATACCGAATACTGATATTGGATGTCCCATTAGGGAAGCCGGGTGGCATGTAATGACTTGCCACCTGACTTCCTGATTAGCCGGGAAGCTGGCCCCAGGAGCCGGCTTTCTGGCCAATCAGGATGCTGGGGAGGGGGGGTTATAATGACTTGCCGCCCGGCTTCCGGATTG